CCATTGCATGGAGCAATACTTTTAATGGCTAAATAATATTCCATGGTATATACAAATCACATTTACCACCTTTACCACCTTATTCTTTAATGTTGTTTCATGTACAAATTTCTGTGTGGATGTTTTTATTTTCTTTAGATTTTCAGTGTTCTAATCTCATTTGTTATTTAAGACTACTTGAGTATAGCCATCTGATTGGTGTGAAATTGTACCTAGTTGTGGTTTTTATTTGAATTTCCTTAAAGATTAATGATGCTGATCATGTTTTCATGCATTAAGTTATCATTTAGATTTTGGGAGGGGAGAAGAATCAGAATATATTCTTTGCCCATTTTAATAGGATTATTTGCCCCTTTTTATTATGGAGTTGTTTTCTGTACATTCTGAACCTATTTCCAAATTGAGTTGCGTAGTTTTAACTCTTCCATTTGGGACTATGGCCCCAAATGGACATAGCTTTTTACTTGTGGATAGCTAGCTGTCCCTGAACTATTTTTTCAGGAAAGGAAAAACATCTTTACATTCTTTTTTTAATCTCTGAAGCAGCTATGATCAACTGTGTTTTGACATGTGTATTTTTTCCCTAGACCCAGCACAATTTTATTCACTGACCTATACACCTGTCCTCGTACCTATAACACTGTCTTGATTATTCCAAACGTTTAGTAAGAATTAAAATCAAGTGTGAGTCTCTAAATTTGTTCTTTTCTGAGGCTGTTTCCATGCTTACTTGTTGGTTGTTAAGAATGTTGAGCTTTAAAACAGATTTAACTACACATGTTCCCAAAAAGAAAGATGCTGTGTCACTAAAATGAAAAAAAAAAAAATCTTTGGGAATATAATTTTCATCATTCCATTTGCTGGAAGTGAGTTTAAAGAAAACTATCTTAAATTTCCAAAAATAATTTTCTTAAAAATTTCTCATATTTGACCCATCATATAGAATTATTAAGCCCACACTCTTATAAGCAAACACACTTATTGTTCTAAAGACTTTAATTCACCTTGACTTACTCAGCTGAGATATTCTCATTAATTTCATGAGCTCTATATCTTAAATATATTCATTACTACCTTATGTGATTAGAAAAGTTATTGGCCCAGAAGGTCAATAAATTATTTAAGCATTGCATTTATCCAGCGTCAGCATGTTTAACACTTTTTAAGCCTTTTAACAACTGCCCGGTAGAGATGAAGCTTCTTTTACTTACTTAAAATGAATAGTACCCAGTAGAAATTTAGAAGCCCTGTGAAATTTAATGACATATGTACAAAAAGGGCCCGTGGCAAACTATTCTAGTAAATCTTACATCACATGGATTAAAGGGCACAGAGCATTTTACATTTGAAGTTCACATTTTAATGTTGAATGCCTCAGTAATGATTTCTTGGATTCACTGAATATAAATCACAATCATTTTCATGTAATTAGCAACATGTTAACACAATCTAACTAGCAGCACTCTATTACATTAAAAGTCTGGCAGTTGATTTTGGCATTGAAAAAGAAGTAGAAAGCCTATGCTACAAGTAATAGATTTCTTAACTCCTTCCCACTAAAAGTCACTAAGAAATTTCAGTACACTATGGCTATTTGGATGAAGAGCATAGCGCGATATGAGTCTCAATTAAAAATATCCATGTAAAATGAGTCTGTCCTAACACTCGACCTTGGCAAGGTGGGGTGGCCTCTCGTTTCTGAGCCCCATCCCAGGAGTGGGTTTCAGAGAACGTGTGATCAGGATGCTTATCCGAGTTGATGTCATCATTCTTCATTTCCTTAATCACATTCCAAGCTGGAAAGCTTACAGAGACACCCCTGTGCGTGCCCCGAGCAGAGCTGGAGCAGAGCGGCCAGGAGGACTTGCCAGAGTCTGAAGCACAGCATGTCACTTCCATTTGTGAGGCTGGAATCGGTCCTGGGCAGGCGCTGATGGAAAGAGGTGTCAGCACTGATGAGCACCTGTGTCCGTTTTCAGTTAGACGAAGACTCGTAATACAAATGAAAGCAGGTTTCATATGTTGCCGCCTGAGGCATCTAACAGGCTTTGCTTTTCCAGGATATTCTTTTCTAATCTTTTGTTTTGTTTTCTTTTCAAGGATAGAAATGAGTATTTTCCAGGAGTTGTAACCCCCTTTTAGCTGAAGTCATTGTCTTATGACCAAGGTTAGACTGGAGCTGAGACCTCTGTCCCACGGTCAGTCTGATCAGATTATAGGATATGGTTTGAACGTATTTTTTTCTTGAATCATAAAATTTTTGGAATCTACTCAGATTTCAGGCAGATTGCCTGGAGCCTTACCCAAGCTGCAGTAGGAACAAAGCAATTATTCTGCTCTCTCGGTAAATATTGAATTGGATCTATCTGGCATATAAAAGTTTTAAGATGCCATTAATACAGAATTTTTCCAAATTGTTGCCTACTTTTTCAGCAACGCTTTTTTTTTAACAAAAGTAGAAGGGCCTCTGTTGCTTTGCCTAACCCAGAGCTCACTGTGCTTGAAATACACACAGGAGCAGAATGGATCTCTCTTCCTCAGGGCATCTTCACTCTCGTAAAGAGACCATGAGCATATGCAATATGAAACTAGGTGCTTGTATGATGGGGATGATGATGTAATAAACATGACACAGGTGAGCGTGCTACATACCCATGACTGGGGCCTGGAGTCGTGAAGGACGCGGGGGTGGAGAGGGGGGAGGAGGTGTTCAAGGTGCTGTGTGTGGGTAGTTCGTCTGTGGGTATCTGGACAAGCAGGGGGCTGAAGTACTTTGAGGAAGCTTCTGTTTGCGAGAGACAAGAAATGACAAGTTAGGGAAACTCAAGGATGTAGGAAAACTCACAACCATCTATGCTTGTAACTAATGAAAGGTCCTTCAGCGAAGCCATAGTGAGTTCTACTCCAAGTGTGTTACCTGGGAATTGGGTAAAAGGTAAAAATCATGCGCCTTCCCAGAGACCAAGGCCACAAAGCGAGTCCTATGTATGTTAAAAACTGAAGTTTGTTTCTTTTTTCTTTTCTTTTCCTTTTTTATTTTTTTAAGATGTATGTATTTATGCTTGACGTCTATTTTGAAGGGCTTTATGGTGGGTGGTGTCCAGGGCAGATACAAGGTGAGCAATGATATGGGAAAGAAAAGAAAATGACCACATTGCCAGCAAACTCACTCTGTTTTCTGCTGGAAATGGGTAAAATTTCAGGGGTGTTGAGCAAGCCACAAGTCTGGGGTGATAGGAGGTGTTGAAAGACACAGGAGAAGAGCTTGTCGGCTAATCCGGGACTGAGATTTTGTTTTGGGTACTGAAGGCTATGGAGGGGTTTGCCAGGACTAACATGGCCTGCTTGCAATAGCCACGGCTTTGAGGCAGCCCGATGAGAAAATGTGAATACATGGGTGATAGCTTGCCCCTAAAACATCACAACTTTTAATCTAAAAGTTCATTTATTTTTAAAAAACTTTATACTAATATAAAAAATAAACACGTTAGACCAGTATTCACGGTGTTTCTCTTCATAGCTGTCAATATGAAATGTCATGTATTACAGTATTATAAGGATTTTTCTCTCAGCTTCGATAGCATAAATAGCATCATGAAATCTAAATAAGCATTTTAATGACTGCAAGCTGTTCTATGAGTGATAAACTAGAATTAAACACAGGACTTTCAGTAACAATTTAGGTCAATTTGACTTCATTCGATCACGGTGAAAATTTGCGCAAAGATTGGTTTAATGTGTCTGATTTTTTTCAGAGCTTTCAGTATAATGGAAAAAATGCATATTAAGACTTTTGTTATGCATTACAAAATTGACTCCAGCTTTGAAATGAGCAACTTTCAGTAGCATAGACTGTTGTTTTTCATGTGGTTGGACCAAAAGTCCCGAAATATCTAATATCCGTTAAGTTTTCAGGTTATTCTCATATATATGCTATTGGCACCCATATATTAAACTCAAATGATAAAATAGAAGCTGCGGGTTTTTAAAGATAACCGTTCTCAATCCTTTAAGAGCTATCTTGGCTCTGTAGTGCCACGTAGGGTTTTTTCCAATGGCATATTTAGGAAAAACGAAAATGTGAAATTTTCTATTGCAGTTGAACAGAATTACTGGCCAGTATGTTATTCATATATAGTCACATTCCAGAAAAATTTGAATTCCATTTTTGTTAAGAGAAAAAACACCACAGAGAAGCACAACACCACCATGCTACCTCCAGCAGACACAGGAGAGCCCACGGAGCTGCGCAAAAGCCCCTTAAGCAGCTCAGTTGGGAGCAGGGAGGAGGGTGAGGAAGGGAATGCAGCCCTGGGACACGCTAAGGAAAGCAAAGGTATTTCTGCCATCTTCACTGGAATGAGATGAGGGGACTCGGTCTTCTCGGCATAGATCCTCGCAGAGAGAAGTCTAGACGTAAACATCAAAACCAGCCACCTGCAGAGTGGCTGAAATCAAGCTTTTGCCAAAAAGCAACACTTTTGCTGGCAGACTTTTGCTACCTACACCACGAGTTTTCAAGGAAGGAAAGGGCTTTATGGCCAAGTTATAATTGCACCATAGATTGTCATCGGCTGACCATTCCAAAATATCTTCCCTCAGTCCTCTCTGAATATCTCTGGCTGTAGGTATTCAAATGCCTGACTAGAGGTACAGCAATAGCTGTTTGCCAGAGGGACTCCTTGCAAGGCCTCAGACAAAATGCACTTGATTAAGATTTTTTTTTAGAAGTATCTATAAATACTCATTTCTTCCCGTGTATATATGTAACTTCCATGCATTACAAAGTTGACTGTTATTTGAGTAATAAGCCCAAGTTCTAGCACAATGACATAGAAGAGAATGAAGATAAAAATGGGAAAAATGTCTAAAAACAATTTTGTTGAGGCTGTAGAGGCTGATGCATTGCTGTTGAGATTATTGATGTGTCATGCAAAAATATTTTTAAAAATTATTCATCTCATGCACATTTACTTAAAAGTTTTCTACTTTGTTTTCAGCTTGATGTTTCCCTGCACCAGATCCATAAACTCCAGAGAGCTTTGGATGAACAGAAAGAAATGAATGAGAACTTGGAAACTGAACTCAGGCACTTACAAAACCGGTTAGTATTACACAAGATATGTTGAACCCAAGATCGGGATATTGGTTAAATAAATCCGTGACCTTTATTTTTCATATATCTTACATATGAAGACACATTTTTAACTAGACATTAACAAAAAAATTTAAAACAATACTGATTTGATGAGGATCATCTTATTGCTTTGCCTAATTGATGCTGCATATTATGGTAAAGACAATTTAAAACAACTTTAATTCTGAAAGGTATAGAAGTTAGAGTACACCTAATGGAAGAGGTGTTATCCTGTACCTCTGAGTCACATCCAGTATTATAAAATGAAAACAAATATGTTTTATATAGAAAAAAGCTTAGTATCTGATATATTGAGCTATAAACCATAAAACAAATTAACTAAGTGAATAAATCAAGTCACAGTAGTTTAAGTGGGTAAGATTGTGAAGGAAAAAGCTGGTAAAGAAAGATTAATTCTCTTCAGAGGTGAAATCTTGTCAGTGGACCCAGTTTAAGATTATTTCCTCAATGATTTTTCTACCAAATGTTGGGCATGAAAAATTTTCAATTCTACCTCAGGATCCAGCAAACGATCCAAAATGCAGTGGTTAAAACAACAACTCCTTAAGCTTCAGTTTCTGCTGTTGGCTAGAAAAGGCGGATCTGTGTGTGCTGCTGGCCAGGGGCGCCCCAAGGTCACATCATTAGGGTGATGGACCGAGGAGGGACTGCCCAAGATGGCGCCCTGTGTGTCTGGATAAACGCATCTGTCCTTTCACTCCATCTGGGGGGCTCTCATTCAGCAGGACCAACTGAGCTGCTCCCCAAGAGGCAGGAGAACCTTGCACCCTTCGAGTCCAGGACCCTGTATCTTCCTTCTAGAGAAGAGGCCACGGTTGGCTGTGAAGTGGTTCTCTCCTCTCTTCCACTCTGACATGGGCTATGGGGAAGCTGTGGCCTCTTGTCCTTTCAGTCCCCTCAGTTGACTGCTTTCCCACTAGAACTTTCTTTAAACCTGGGGGTGTTGTGACTTTAACATTCTCATAAGTCCCAGTAAGTAGGATTTGCTGCTCTTACGTCCCATGAGCCAACCCCATTCTCACTGAGGTAGTCTCTGTGCTTGTCCAGTTGCCATGTTTATGAGATTGTCCTATTCTTCATCCCCCTATGACCTTCCATTAAGTCTTTTTTAGCTCTTCCCCAAAGATTTTCAGTGGCTGATTCATGTTACTAGGAGACAATGCCTTACTTCGTGACTGCTTCTCTTCTCTGAAATCTGCTTGAAAACCGAGTGATTTTCGAGCTTATTTTTCTCTTATAATGTGGTTAAAAGACAGCATCTGGCTCTTGAGCATGCTGCATGTTAATCTTGTGAGCTAAAACCGCAGGCTTATTACACACTTGTAGCTGTGATGCTCCTGCTAGTGTCCAGCTCTGCACTGGCTCGCTGCTTTCTTCACAGCATCACCACTGCCCTCCCCACTGTCTGCCCACAAGCGCCACCTATTCTAGGATTTGTTCTGACAGCAACTTGCCTCCAGATACCAGCTTGAGGTCAGATGCTACTGGATGGTGGTGCTCTGCTTCCCCTGGAGATGGGGTGGGGGTGGGTACTGTTAGATCTGCTTCTCCCAGACAGAGCCTGATTGGAAAACCCAACATGGCTTCACCCATACCTGACACTCAGCTGGGTCTCTGCCTGGCCTGAGGAGGCACTGTGAGCTCAGTGGCCAAGCGTGAGATTGCCCACTTGGTTGGGTAGTTCCCACCAGGACTCTGGGGACCTCACAGTACATCCTCCTTCAGCTGCACTGATTCAAAGCAGGTCACAAGGCCAACCCCACTCCAAGAGGCCAGAGAACTGACCCCAAAGTTTTGTGGGAACAGCCCCAGACACAATGAGGGACACCCACAGCTGTTACCATCATTATCACAGACCATTTACCAGAAGCAGTAACTTCTGATTTTACTTTAAGATCACTGTTAGATATGCATGCTGTGGTGAGAGGATTCACCAGAGATAGTAGGGAGCAGAACAGGCAGGTCTACGGTACCATGGGGGTGGACACCTCCCAGGCCACAGTGACCGGCGACAGCTTGATTGTGTTGAGACTTTATCCCCTGTGCCCCCAGGGAAGCTCATGTTCTTCCACCTACTCAGAAAATAGGCTTTTCTGTCATCTCTCTGACCTCAACCATGTGACTTATCACCAAACTAAGGATTACTCCCTCAGACACAGAATGGAATAAGGTAAAAGAAACATCTCACCCAGCACCTGACATTAATATTCAGCAAATCTCCATCGCATTCTACTTTTTAGGAGGTGAATATGGACCTCTGAAAAATTGTTTACAAATATTATGTGCATAAACTTTCTAAGAAGTCTTGGTAATACCTCACAGAAAATTAAAAATTACTCTTGACATCAACTACTTAAACCTGTATCCTCTTTATGGATATGATTTCTTATCTTTTGAAATATTTCAATAAGAATACTGACTTCAACTCAACAGCATCATATAATAATCCTGATAGCTCTAAAGAGTCAGGACCATAATATTGTGATGTAGAGGCATTGACAATAAAGTGTTTGAATTACTTGTCCTTTAAAGAGAAATAGTTACAATTGCAAATGCTAGAAAATTTCCGAATAAAAATTGGATTTGAAATGTTCTTAACTTAGAACACTTGAGTCCTGTTAAAGTAACCTTAACATGGATTTAAAAATACTGTTACACTAAGTATTTGTTTTATCAATCAACTTCAAATACAGAAGTTACAAACTAGGACTCATTAAGAAGCATAGCTCTCATGGAGCTAACGAAAGATCACAATCGGGAAAATTAAGATGTATTTCTGCATAGGCATATGTCATGACTTTTCTGACAGCCCAGTGTTATTGCCATGGCCACAGATCTAGCAAAATGTGAAGATATTTATTTGCATCTAATAATGCTTATCATAGGGTTGTCTTCTTAAATGGAATTAATAAAAACATGGAATAAAGATGGTTTTAGGCAGTTGATTTTTTTTTTTTTTGAGGGCTGAAATAAGACATTCTTAATAAAACAAGTACATCCATGCACTTCCTCAGCTCCTGGTACAGACAAAGCTATTTTTAGAACATGGTGTCTAAACCCTGCAAAGATTCATTTTGTAGATGCGAGAGCAGGAGTTCCCAAAAGTTTAGTTTTCCTAGCTCATTTATTCAGTTTGCTGTTAAAGACAGTTGTTATTAAATCAGACCATTGAAAACACTACTGTATCCATACCCTAAGGGGAACACTTAGTTATGGACTTTCAGGATTAGTGTAGAACTAACATACACACTGCATGTCCTCCTGACCCTGGCCTCTTCCTAGGAATAAAAATATAGACCGATTGGTGTGGGAAACGAAACCTCTCCAAAGTATTCTCCCCATGGAGTGGAAAGTAGGTGCATAGTTATTTTTGAACTTGATGTGAGCAAGGCAAAGATATGTTATCTACTTCTAAGGTAGAAGCCATGAAAGTTTCATCTCATATTGATGTGAAGATAATGGTGTCTGCATCTTTCCATGAAGGGAGAGCTAATAGTGGAAAACCTGTACTCTTGAAGATGATTCCATTGCATAGATGAGAGTAAAGTTTAGTGACTGGCTTAATCCAACTCTCTAAAACAACCAAAAAGTTCACCAAAAAAACCCTGGAAAATACAGACTTACTCTAACAGCATGGCAAATTTAGATGGCCAACAATTTCCACATCATCTGTAATAATGTTCTTCTGGACCTCTGAAGTTCTATTCACAAGAGGAAGAATTTGTATTTGAATGTATGTATTGTCATGGGGAAAAAGATACCCCAAGTTTGATTGTAACTAATTATTGAAGTGCACAGTCAATCTATGGGAACACATAGATTGTGCCAAGTAAGATGTTCAACAGCTGCTTTGATGAACTGGAGAAAGAAGCAGGAATAGCACACAGGTAATTCTCTATTATTTTGTGTTAGAACTGAAATACAAAGTGGTTCTAGAGGCAAGGGAAATTTTAGGGGAAAATTTTTAAGAACAGCTCACATTATCCAGTCGTCTTTACTTATACACAACAGTGGTCAGTGGGGGGTCATTTTTTCAGCATTTCTATTTGCCTTAGGGGAAAGAGCAACTTCAGCAAGTCCGCGATTTGCTGAAGGCCAGGTGTGTCCGGGTTGGAAAAGCCCCTCGAGCAGGTTCATCGAGGAGAAGGTTTGCAAAATACCAGACCGGCACAGACACTGAAGCCAAACATTTGCTCTTTGGAAGTTTTTCCCACCTGTAGCTAGAGAGGACAATACCTGTTTCATTATGAGCTTTTGACATAATCCTGTGCATAGTACTTGTGCCATTGTGGAAAAGTCAACAGGGTTAGTGGTGGCTCTGTGATATTTAAGATTAATTAATGGTGTGAAATCCAGCAACAAAACATTTTTGATTAACGGATTAGTGAAATCTTAGTCAATTATTTCATATGCCTCTCTTTAGCATACAAAATTGACTGCACCTTTCAGTTCTGGCCTCCACAAATGAAAATAAAGCATGATGTGAGCGATGAATAGGCTTGGAAAGATTTCCCAAAAGGGGGATTCCTATTAAATATTCCTTTCACTAAAAGAATAAGTTTATTTCCAACAGCTGCTTCCATTAGACTGTTAGCACCAAGCAAATCCATTTGTACAAAATATTCTGGGCAGTCCTCTGTAGCAAGAGATGAAGTAGAAGAACATGAGAATAACATTAAAAGGTGAAAAAAAATCCATTTTAACATTAAGCTATAGAATGTGGGATAAAGTATAAGTTATCAGCACTGGAATCTGTAAATTGCAGTTTTATTGAATGAACTGTATTTTGCTTTTAGACATATTCATTCGGTCACATAAAACCAGATTCTATCGTTCTCTGAAACTTGCTTTTAGCTTATTACTTAGTCTCTCTGAATGGAAATAGCTGAGAATATAATGGTTGAATGGGAATACAGCTCTTTTACATAGATCTTTATTTCCAGAGG